GTTTAGGGTTTAGGGTCTAGGGACGGCGCTGAACTCAAATGAACACAAGAAGCTTCAAGAGCCTTCAGTCTGCGTAAATCCCTGTTGAATCAACAAACACCCGGTTTCTTATGACTGGTCGGTGCACCGAACATGAGAATGCGTAAAAGTTGCCTTTATAAGAAGGTATAGCTATGAAACACAACAACACTATAAGTGCACATGTCCTTAAATATCTACCTATCTCTGTTAAGCGCTCTTCAACTGAGCACACCTTTGACGCCCTAAACCCTAACTAAACCCTAAGCCCCGAACCCTAAACCCTAAACTCCAAAAAAGCCCAAACCCTAAACCCCAAAAAAAACCCTAAACCCCCAAAAACCCCAAAAGACCCTAAACCCCAAACCCTATTTGACATTCTGATGAGGCTCATAGGTCTGCCTTTACCGAAGAGGCAGGCTTCTGAGCTTGGCAGCAGAGGGCGAAGGACGCGAACTCGGCATCTCCGACCTCGACGACAACGAAATACAAAAACGAGTTCTAGCTCCAAAAACCAAGACCAATGCGCAGTTGACTTGTTGTCATGAATGACAGATATATGATATACCTAAACCTGCAAACTCTAAACCCATTCGATGAACTTATGCCTGAGTTTGAGGCACTTCGGACAGCAGGTGTGGAATTCAGGGTCTTCGCGTTCGGGGTTCCCTAAGCCATGACTCGTTTAGTCTAAGAGGCCTAAACCCTCATTTCGTCTGGGGTTCACATGCTTTCGGCGGCTGAGACGGGGTTGGCGGCTGGGGGTACTCGGCTTTCTGCCCAAGCAAAGCCACCCCCCCAGCTAGGACAAGGAATCTCTTTTGGGTGTAGGATTCAGAGTGTTGGGATTAGGGCCTTGGACGATCTCCAACCCCGAAAATTCCTAAGCTCTTGCGCCAACAGCTGCACCTAAAAGCCAACATCTCCACACGCAAACCCCTGCTCCATAGTTCGCTGTGTCCGAATCCTAAATTCCTTAAACCCTTGGCACGACAAGCCTGACGCCCTGAATCGTAGGTCTTGAGCCCGAGGAACCTGCACTGAAAAGCTAAACACTTGACAATGCCGGCAAACCCGACTTCGAGTCCTAAGCCCTTAACCCGTAAACTGTTGAAAAGGCTTCGGGGTGTGAAGTTTCAGGATGTAGGAGCCGTGTTCAGTCTGCGCAAGATCGAGAATCCTAAACGGCAACCCACAGCACCCAAACACGCCTGTCTGTCTACTGCGATGAACCCGACATACCCTATCGTGTTTAGGTTAACCATTCAATATAGTAAGTTTGTATACACCCGAACTGCTGAACATGACATATTGCTGCACCATTCTCGCGAAAGATTATGCCGTAATGTTGAACCCATACTCAGAGGATGGCAAGGCGCATGGCTCCGACATTTACCTCCCACTCGCTCGGGAAAGGCCGCGAAGAGACTCAGGGTGGCTCCAGCGCGCAATGAACGCAGCATGGACGCCCAGCATATCAGAACGCCAACACCTAAAAGCCTAAAGAGGTGAACCGATGGTGTTGAGGTTTAGGGTCATGGGTTTAGCTCAGGTTCGCGGATTGGCTCTTGGCAAGGGCGATTGAGTCTGAGTTGGATTTGGCCTGAGTCCAATATCAGCTGGGGCCTTGGGTTCTGCGGTTATCGCGCGGGGCCTAGGCGCGGAAGCGCTCCTTAGGGTTTACCTTAAGAACCCAAAACCCATTTTTTTGTAGGGTCCCTATAAATCCCATATTAGGGTTTATAATAAGAACCTACAAAAAAGTGGGTTTGGGGTTATTTAGAGTTTAGGGCTTCAGGGTTATCTTGGTTACGAAGGCAACACTTCGAGGCCGTAGAGAAACTTCATTTAAACTCCATCTTAAACCCTAAGTTCAACCCTAAAACCATCTTAAAACCTAAGGAAAACCCCTAAACCCTAAGTTAAACAATGAACCCAAAACCCATCTTAACCCCTAAGTTAAACCTGAACCCATCTTAAACCCTAAGGAAGACCTTAAACCCTAAGTTAAACCCTGAACCCCTAAACCCTAAACCCTAAACCCTAAACCCTAAGTTAAACCCTGAACCCCTAAACTCCACCCAAGGCTCTAAGGCTCTAAGGCCTTGAGCCAAGCGGTCCATCGAACTCGGATCTTCAGATGGAGAGCTGGTGGATATTTTGGGGGTTCTAGGCTTTAGGGCATAGGGTTTAGGGTTTAGGGTTCTAGGGTTTAGGGCTTGGGGTTTAGGGTTTATAGGATATTTGGGGGTTCTAGGGTTTAGGGCTTAGGGTTTATAGGGTTTAGGGGGGTTTAGGGTTCAGGGCTTATAGGGTTTATAGGGTTTTTGGGGGGGTTTAGGGTTTAGGGCTCAGGGTTTATAGGGTTTAGGGGGGTTCTAGGGTTTAGGGCTTGGGGTTTAGGGGGGTTTAGGGTTTAAGAGTTTAGGGGTTTAGGGTTTAGGGTTTAGAGTTCACTAATCACTGCTTAGGGTTTACTTACTTGGGCCCTTAGGGTATTCTAATACACAACATTCCAACACCGGAAACCCCAAATCCCCAAATCCTCAATCCAAATTGGGGTTAGATGTAACTATGGGTAGATCCCGTGAGCCTTTAAGTACGCTCGAAAATCCTGACAACCCTACAAAGACCAAAGCCTACCTGCCAGGACCATAAATAACCTACCTTTCGGCGTCCTTTATTAGGATTCTTACGATCTCTTTTAGAAAAGCCCCTTAAAGAAGGACTATTTGTGGTTAAGGTAATTGAGGATTTCTTATGATCTCTTTATATAAGCCCTTCAGGATATTTGTGGTTAAGGCAAGTCCAAAGCCGTCCAACGCCCTAAGCGCCCTGCACAAAAAAAACTCAGAAGTAAATCCTAAACCCTGAATCCTAAGTCCTACACCCCAAACCCTAAATCTTAAACCCTGAATCTAAATCCTAAACCTCTAAACCCTAAACCCTAAATCCTAAACCCGAAGTCCCGAAAGAAAAGGCCTCTGCAGAGTCCAGGTGCCAGGAGGGGAAGGCGATAATTCGGGGCTTCGGGCCCTCCATGCCCGAGACCTGGCCGACGAGAGGTTTAGCCGTTTAGGGGTTTATAGGGTTTAGGGGTTTAGGGTTTAGGGTTTAGGGGTTTATAGGGTTTCGGGGTTTAGGGGTGTAGGGTTGAGGGTTTGGGGTTCAGGGGTTTAGGGTCTAGGGTCTTAGGGGTTTAGGGGTTTCGAGGTTTAGGGTTTAGGGTCTTAGGGGTTTAGGGTCTTAGAGACTTTGGGGTTCAATTGTTTAGGGATTTAGGGGTTTAGGGGTTTAGGGATTCAGGGTTTAGGGTTTAGGGATTCGTAAACTCTGTTCCTAGGCGGTAGCCCCGGTAACAACAAGGGTACCCCAAACCCTAAACCCTAAACCCAAAACCCTAGACCCTAAACCTTTTTTTGTCCGAGTATTCGGTTTGAAGTAAGGGAGATCCCAGAAGAAAGAGGGCAAAAGGGTACTACTGAGAGAACCTGGCTTCTTCAATACTGTTGATGATAACCCTGCATTACCTTACTTGGAGGTACATGGGTAGTTATAAGTGGGTTTATAAGTAGGATAACTATAGTTATAACCCATATTACGGGACTTATAACCCTACTTATAACTACTCATGAACCTCCAAGTAAGGACCCTAAACTATGGGAGTTAGGGTATGTTCCTTACTATGGGTAATGCAGGATTTATATCATAAACCGTTTTGTGCCGTGTTGTAGGGACCTGATAAAGGCACCCGGAGTATGAATCCTAACACTTCGGGGTTGTAGGGCCAGGGCTTCTTGACCAGGTTCCGACATTCACCGGGCGCAACCATGTTCAAATTTTGCAGGGTAGACCAACTATGTAAGGCCAACAAGTTTACAGTTGTCCGACTGGCTATCGAATCTAGGTAAACCCCTTATAGTACCCGTTTGGAGCCCTTATACTATCCCCGAAACCCTATGTACATGGTTCGGGGCTTGTAATCATTACCTAAACCCGTGGTTACAAGTCTCTGTTTAGTATAGGGCATAGGTAACCCCCGGCTCTAAAACCCTCCGTAAAGGATCAGGGGGCTCAGTACCCAGGCACGGATAAGGTTTTAGGCATGTTTAGGGTTAAGGGTTTAAGGTTCCGGGTAGGCTACCACCGCTGTAAGACAATAAGTAACTCGAAATATTCTGATATGAGCTATCACCTACGGACCCAGTGCTGCGGCTCTTGCAGTGCATCCCCGGCCCATCAACCGAGGCATGCTCACACTCGGCTTCTGCAAGAGTAGCCACTTGAAGGACCTTGAGAACAAGTTCGGGCTTCCAAACAACTTTTCCGTTCTGAAGAGGAGAGGACAGAAGAACAACAATGATACAAGGATGCTACCGGCGAACCTAGATCTTACAATGTTTCCCATGCAAGCCCTGCATAAGCCACCGGGAGGGATCTGTAAGGGTTAATATACGGGGTCTATAAGAGTTAATGTAAGGGTTCTATAGGGGGGTTTAGGGGGTACTTGAAGGATCATGGGACTCAGTAACTAGGGTTTTGCATAAGGTAACTATACTTACAAATGCTTTGTATACGTATAATCCCAATTAGAGGACTTGTAGCCTTGCTTACTAAGTCTCATGATCCCTCGAGTAGCTGGGTAGCAAAAGGCGGTCTAATGTAGAACCTGAATACTGTAGCTACCTCAAAAAACTATTTTGGAAAAAAGGACCCCAGAACTCTGTTCTAATTATTAAGGCCCCTATATTAGGGTGGTCGAGGAGGATTTGGGCCGGTTCTGTGCAGTTTCGCGGAGGGTTCAAGAAACTTAAGCTTTCAGATTTCAGCCAATCTTCGAACAGCGGAAAGAAGCCTACACCGGCGGCCTTTCCCGGAGCCAACCTGACCGGGAAGTCCGAAAGCAACCCTAGACCCTCAACCCCTAAACCCTACAGTCTCTGAAATTTAAATCGTCACACACACAGAGCCGAATGCCCGTCAAATCGCATTCCCGAGCTACAAAGAAGCGCAAGCTCCTAAACTTTTCTAAACAGGTTCGATATGGGGCCTCGATAAGGGGCTGGCTGCGAAGACTCAGGGACAAGTCCTGAATCAAGCGAATTTGTTGTCCTCTCTGGTCTCCAGAACCTAGACCGACAAGGATTCAGGGCTTAGGGTTCAGGGTTCAAGGATTGAGGGGGTTCGAGCACAGTGGGGCTTTGGGTTTAGGTTTGGCGTCGGGGGCTTGGAGTTTAGGAACCCTAAAACCTTAAACCCCTAAACCCTAAACCCCCCCCGAAATCCAAAACCCTAAACTCCAAACGTTTTGAGTTTCGGAACGATAAATCCCAAACTCTAAACCCTCACTCGGATGAGACACGTCCAGCGCTGCTGCCAGTGGTCTTTCGAGGCCACCGACTGGCGCAGCTGCAGAAGCTTCTTAATCAATATTGAGGGTTTAGGTGTTTAGGGTTTAGTAGGGGCTTAGAGTTTAGCTTAAGATCTTGTGCGTAGGCACCTAAATATCGTGCCGGTGGTTAGGGTTGGGGCTCGCGACCTACAGCGTGGTACACGCTTAGTCCTCATGAAATCCTACCTGCAATTACTTAGGGCTTATCACGGCGCTGGTATTAGCCGCTTTAGGTGCGTGGGATGTAGGGCCGAGGGCTTGTAGTTGTATGCGCAGTTAAGAGCCAATCCCTAAACCCGAAAGCCCACCTGAACCTTGCAAGTTCTTACAAGCAGCTGCCCACAGGCTCCAAAGTAGTTCCTTTTTGGGATTACCTGACAGGATCCTAAATATAAACCACAAGCAGGAACTATAATGGAGCCTATGGGTGTGGATAATTTCCCGAGCATTCTGATGCGACAATGAGGTAGGGATATGGGAGCTGGGTACCCCGAAGGGTCCATGTATCCGTGCAGTATAGGGTTTAGGGTCTAGGGTATCCTTTGGAGGTAAAGTAATCCCTAATCCCTAATCAAGTACTTGAAAGCCCACCTTTTTACTGTTACTATTTGGGCACATGGACCCTTAGGGTACTGCAAACCCAATAATGCAGAATTGCTACTCATATGACAGGGACCACCCAAAGTGAGGCACAGAGGAAAGTAACCAGGCCCAGGCAAGAAAGGCCAAACACCGTAAACCCTGCCAGCCCTACAACCCCTAAACTACAACCTACCCATAGGCCCCATAGTAGTTCCTTTTGGGGATTACCTTATAGGATTCTAAATATGAACCCCCAAAAGGAACTACTATGAGGCCTATGGGTAGACCCGAAAGCCGGCTAGATTCAATCTGATCGGAGCACAAATCATATTGGAGCTTGAGAGAGCATCCACATGTTTATGTCCTTATAGTGGCTTAGGAGTATAGACTAACACAATCCATGTACAACTGCATGTCAGATCCATGCATCCCTCTAGACATCCATCTACTAAGCCCGAAACCCCAACCAGATACGGCATAGCAGCGCCC